CAAGAGTTTCTTCTTTAATTTTATAGTTAGCGTAAATTAGGGTTTTTTGCGTATTTCGATAGTGTGATTAGTTGGTGAGGTGTGTGTATTAAATTCGGTGTTAAAAGTGAGTTTAGTTAAGAGAAAGTGTGTGATTAGAAGTGATAATAATAAGTTAGTAAATCATAAGTGAAAACCCTAGTACGTACAAGTTAAGGAAAAACTGCTCGAACCGACATGCACCGTTTATTACCGAGTGAGGGCACCATTTGAATACTATTTTATTACCTTAATCTCCTTGTTTTTAATTGAGTTAATTAGCCCTTAATCAATCCTCAAGTCAGCCACTATTATGACTAAGGAAAAAAAGATATTTTGGTGGAAATATTTGTGATTGTGCCATTTGTCAAAAATCCATCCAAGGTCTTGACCAAGACCCTTTGACCAAGCCTTTCTTAGTCTTCACCTTGCAAACATTGAACCAAAACCATTTCATTTTCTTGTAAGCTTGGCCGAGAGAGAGAGAAGATGAAGAGAGAAAAAGTCCTTCAAGTTTCATCTTGATTTCTAGCAAATTTTGTGGGAAAATCAACTTCAAACCTTAAATCCATCCATAGAAGGTTGCAACAAGGAAGGAAGGAGCTTCGTATGGTGTGATTTTGGAGAAGAAAGTTGTGATTTGATACTCTTCTTAGGAATTGAAGGTATTCTTGGCAAGGAACTACTTTTTCCTTTTAATCTTGCATTTAAGTTGATATATTACTTGAATATGGAAGTTTTATGAAAGATTTCATGGGTTGTGAAATTGTTGGAACTTTTCTAGCTTTGATTCATATTTTTTATCCATGAGATGCTTATATCTAGTTTTGTTATAGACTTGAGAGAGATGATATGAAGATTTCTAGCTTTAATATGACTCTTAGCTTCCAAATAAGGATTTTCTAGCTTTAGTTCTAAATTTCCAACTTAGGGTTTACGTTTCCAGCACTTAGTACTAATTTTGCCCTGTTTTAAGAACCACACTTACCTGTATATTCGTCCATGATAAAAGCCGAATTAGGTCTTTCTCAAAACATTAAAGTTGTAGGGAATTGAGTTAATTAGCTACCTATAAAATTTCAGTTCAATCGGAGCACTATAGCTTGTTAAATGACTAACATACCCCTGACTGTCAAATGCTCAGTTTAACCGACAGCTTTCTGTTTTCTCTAAAATTGCACATTTTGACCTTGAAAATGCATGAATTGGGTGTCGATGTCTTGATAGGAAATGCAGGTCTCTGTCTTAGTTTTGAAACGCCATAGAATTTACTCCAATCCGATAAGCATAGCTTCAAATGTGACCAAAACGCCGGAAAATGTGAAACCTGCTACTTAGCCATTTGTCTTTAAAATTGGTTTCCAACTTTGATTTTGATAGTTGCATTGCTAGAATTGCCTTGTATTGGAATCAAATTAAGCCTAGTGAAGGGATATTGTGTTAAGATTGTTTATGTGTGAATTTGGACTGAATTGAAGAAAAAATGAAGCCACAAATGGTTAGAAAATAGCGAAATACAAAGGGCATGCTGCCCAAATTTCTATTACTTGCTCTTATGAATATTAGTGAGATGCAAGGTTTGAATTTAGGGTTAGTTGGATCTTAAGTTACATATGTGTCCTTGAATGGACTTTAATAGTAGTATATGAGTTATTTTTTACCAAGATTTGATATCAACCAAGATGAAAAACGTTAGTTTTATCTCGAAAACTTTAAATTTCATTTGCTTATTTCAATTTGGCATTGGTTATTCTTAAGGTTTGTTGGTGATCAAGGTCATAATCCGAGAGGAAACTTTTGACATTATTTTGGCTTAGACTGGTGAGTGTTCCTTGTGTATTTGTATAATAAGTGACTATATGACTATTTGTGAATGTTTGCTTGAATGTTAAATACTTTCCAAGGATTGCTAAATGGATTTCGTTGGACGAGTGTGTACTTTATCGCATTCGATCCAAGCCAAAGTGAATTTTCAATGATTGAATGCTATTTATGCATGAATGTAAGTCTTTTGGCTGAACTGGACTCTTGCCCTTCGTTGCCAATCGACTCAAGCCAGAAGCGGATTCGGTCGGGCGGCTGGTGACTCTGGGATAGTGTTTTGGTATACTCGAGTATGATCGCGAAGGTTGGTGGAGAACTGGCCAGTGAATTGGCTAATGACAGGAAATGAAATCAATGAATGAATGTCAAGAACATTGGAGGAGTTTTCACTTGCAAATGTTTTTCTAATAATTGGAGGAATAAGAAAAATAGTTGGCGAATGAATGAACAAATGGCTCCATGTGAGCATGTATCTGTTTAATGAGTGTATTTTCATTGCTTTTATCTGGTGAATGTTTTTTTTTTGATTAATTGTTCTTCAATGAATAATGACCTTATTTAAATTGCTTGATTACTTGTTTGGGAATCTCATTGGATTTTTAGCTCATTCCTTTAATTTTGTTTTCCTTACAGGGAAGACGAGCGAGGCGTGAGACTTGTACAGGCTAGCGTAGTCTAGTTTTTAGATTTTACAATTATACTCGCGCTAGTGCTCGACTATGGTTGGTTACACCTGGATTGTAAACACTTTGATATATTTGGACGTGTATAAGCCTTGTAGCTGGATTTGAACATCAATGTGTATGTTAAGATTGGAATTTTTGTTTTATTTATTTTCTATGGTTGTAAGTTCTTTTCTCGAATTAAACGTTAGTGAGTCCTAGCGAGAGATGGGCAGGTGACTCGCTAAATCCTGGGGTACGCCCTAGGGGGAGGTGGGGTCGTCACAATATACATGTATATGTACATATGTATACATGTATTTTCGAGACTTGGGCCCTTATCCTTTCTTAATAATAACGTGGCTATGTGTTTATGCATATGTGTACATGTATTTTCGGGGTTTGGATCCTTATCCTTTCTTAATAATAACGTGGCTTTGTATATTCATGTATATACATGTATACATGTGTACATGTACATGTATATATGTATATATTCATATATTTATATGTATAAATACATGTATACATATGCAAGTATATATGTACATATGTATATACATGTAGTTAAAAATTTACATCAAGAAATTATATTAGGCAATCCTTTTTTATCCCAATTATTTCCAATTTAAATAGATGATGAAGGTATTACTGCAAGAATTTATGACCAAGAGGTTTGATTTCCTTTTGTTACTACTTATTTAACAAGAGAAGAAAATTTTTTGTACACTGCTAAACAACTAAAACAAAGAGCAATACATAATATTTCAAAACAATTAGATTTTCTTAAAGAAGAAATTAAAGTAGAAAACATTGAAAAAGACTACAAACCCAAGAGGTAAAAAGAAAAATTTTTGACATGCAAGAATAGTTTAAAAAGGAAATATGTTCTGACTTACCAAATGCATTTTGGAATAGAAAAAACCATATAGTAAGATTACCATATATTCCTGTTCTTACATCATTCGTTATTATCTTCTTTTGTCTAGAAATTTGCTTGCTGATTGGTCTCTTGAGGATTGTCATCCTGCATTTTTATTGGCTGGGTTTGGCTTTTGATTGATTCCAATTTTCTAGAATAGGATTGAAAATTTCATAACAATCATCTTCATTTGCTTGAGCGTCGTCTAGAGTTTTTCCTTCTTCGTCTATCTGGGATAAAGTTTTAAGTTTTTTTTTGAAATCTTTTTTGCTTGTGCTGGGAACCATTAAGCATTGAAATCTATTTTTTGAGAAAAAATTTCTTGCATTTTCACAGTTTCTTGAGTAGTTAGCTCCTTTTGCATAGGATATTTTATATCCTTTACGGAGTCCCGCATTTAACCTTTAATTGTCTGGTAAAATAATTAATTTCTTGAAGATTAATCTTGTTGAAATTCAAGCAAAAAATCCATAGAATTTGGTTTTTGATATAATAATGAAGTGTAATGTGAGGATCGAAGACAACCAAGTGGAAGAGATAAACAATGTAAAGATCACAAACGTAACAATAAGTAAATAAAAAGGAAAGTATTGCAAACCAATTAACTATCCAACTCCTCTTGAACTTGTAGATTAATTCAAACAAATTTATTCAAGTTGATGAATTACAATCACTCTTGTGTACAAAGAAAGGTTCACCTCCTCCTTGCCCCAAACTCCACTCGGTCAAGTTAGGACGTTTTACTATTCCTCAGGACAACCCTCACAGAGCTACACTCATAAAGTATTCACTCACAAATGAAAAACTTACAATGAATCTCACACCACTAAAACTACAAATCTTTCTTGGAGAGTATTTTCTCATTAAAATCACTCTAAATTTTTTGTCTTTTCAGTGTGCAAAAGTTATTTGAAAATTCTGACCATACTTTATTTATAGGAGACCAACAAAGTGCATTATTAATGCTTCCAATGGATAGAAAGTAACTGAACAATTAACTAGCCGTTGGAGTATCCGACGTCCGGTACTCCTGTTTTTTGAGTTCAACAGCAGGCAGTGAGTAGGGATGGCAATGGGGCGGGGGATCCTTCCCCCGTCCCCGCCCCGTTGTCAAATAACTCCCCCGTTCCCGCCCCGTCCCCCGCCTCTCGCCCCCATCCCCCGCCCCGTTTCCCCCGCGGTCCCCGCGAAAAAAGAAATTAACTTATCATAAATATTCATTTACAATAATACAATTATAAATAACGTTAAATAAAATTAAATAGCTGTCAAGATGAAAATAGAGCATAACAAGTCAAGTTACATTCATTCTAGCATTCAACAAATTCAGTCGAGTTGATTTCTCATATTCAACAAACTAAAACACTCAACAATAAATTCAACTTTTCTCTTCATTAATATAACTCAACAACTTCAGAACATTTGCTCTTCATCAACCTCGAGATGTGATAACTCATTTGATAAAGCAACCCTGACATTTGATGTTAAATAAAAGAAAAATCTTGTCAACAGAGTATAGTGTATAACAAATAATTGGAGAAAATCAATTTAGATGAATCAAATTTCTTTAATACCTATTCAGTAACACAATCAATATCATCTTCTTCATCAACTAATGTATTACATGACATCCCTTCCGATGTAGAAGAAGTAGCTGCACCAAAAAAAAATAGCCACTGATTTACTAAATAAAGAAATGCAAAAAAAAAATGTATAAATTTAAAAGTAAAAGTTAAATCTTTTGTATACCATTTATTTCATTCCAGAGCCAAGTGCGAGTACACATCAATGCTTCCAAGGTATTGGCGTGAAGTTTACATCGATGAGGACTAATTATTCTTCCACAAGTACTAAATGCAGATTCAGATGCCACACTTGACGGGTATAGCTAGAATATCCTTAGCCATTTTTGTAAAGTGGGATATTTAACCCCATGTGTTTTCCACCAACCAAGTATGTCAAAAGTCGGAACTCTTGGTAACACATTTTCCTCAAAATAAAAATCCAATTCCGTCTTAGAAGTAACATCAGTAGAGTTAGAAGCCACAAACTTATCAAAATCAGCAAGGGGATCCGTTTCAACTTCATTCTTATCATGACTCCCATTAACATGCTCACTATGTGAAGCCATGTACTGACTATCAACTCTATTTCCACCCAAACTAGATCGGTATTGATAATCATGCAACAAAGAATAACAATTTTGACGAATTGCTTCAATTTTCATGAATGATTCATCACCATAAATGATAGGAAAATAATACTCAATCAACTTCATTTTGTATCTAGGATCCAAAACTGCAGCAATACCAAGTATCACATTACAATCTTCCCAATATTTTTGATATTTTGCCATCTGTAAGTCCCACAGACAACCAAGAGGGGGGGTGAATTGGTTGATTAAAATCTTAACCAAGTTTATGCACTTTTTCTTTAATGAAAATTTACCTTCCTTTTTAGTAATGATCAACCAAGTACATTAGAAGACAATAGCAATATTAATCAGAGAAGCAAGTATAGATAAGCAATGAAGATTTTATTAAACAGAAATATAAAATAGAGAAACAAACCAAGTGTCTACCAAGCTTTACCCAAACTTGAAGACCAAACACTAGGAAGAGCAACTTCTCTTTGATGAACGAAGATCAACTAGATGTACAATGGAGGGAGCTCTTCCTCCTTGCCCTAAGCCTCACTTAGTCAAGCTAGGAAGTTTTACAATCACTCAGAAAACCCTCAACAAAGCTACACTAAAGATCCTTTCAACCACAAAAGAAATGCTCAACAGAAATTCACACCACTTTAATACAAATCTGCTTTGGAGACTATTTTCTAGCTAAAATATCTCTTGAGAACTTGTAAACAAAGTGAGCAAAAGTCCCTACTTCGTTCAGACCAGTTTGATTTTAAAGGGATCCAGAAATGGGCTTCATCAATGCTTCCAACGGATAGAAGGCAGCTGAAGAGTCAACTAGCCGTTGGGGCTGTCGGACGTCCGACGATCGAATCATCGTCCGAACCAATCGTCCGATGATAGCCAAGTTGAGGTTCGGACGTCCGATAAGTTCTTTGTCGTCCGACAGCACAGCGTCCGACCTTGGGCCGAGAGCTAGCAAGTTATCTTGGAATTTTTCGGACGTCCGATGCGGTTGATTAGCGTCCGATGGCAAGCGTCCGATCCTTCCGGACGTCCGATGCTTCCATGTGAGCGTCCGACGGTGCTTCCTTCCTGATGTTCTTTATCTTTTCGGACGTCCGACAGTTTCCTTTCGGCCGTCCGACCTGATTGTCCTGTTTTTGCTTCTCATTTTGGTTGTTTTACATTTCATGACATATTTGAACCTGATTCTTGGATAGAAAAAAACACTTGTATTTGAGGAAGGTTAGACAAATATTTCAAAGTACCAAGAATGACAAACTAGACATACTTAAAAGACAATATCTTTGATCGAAAACAAAACAATGACTAAATTCATTCATATTATTCCAATCTTGTTTGCCACATCCAAAGCAACGTAGTCAGGAGATAAACGAACATATGCTTTCTTTGTTCCAACAGACCTGATCAAAGTGTTCACTTTCTTGGTCTGTATAAACAAACTTTTGTGATCATCAAAACCAAGAATAACACCATCATCTTTTCTGCCATTACGCTAGTTAAACAATTTGAACTTTTCATCCATTGAGCCAATGATACCTTAATGTCACAAACTTTTGCAAAAAATTCATTTGATGTAGGATATCGAGTACCGGAGAACATTTCAGTGACTTGGTAGAATAATTTCAACTTCTCACAAATGGCATTACAAACTTCCCAATCATCATCATTTGGCAAACTAGTGTAGTGTTTCTCACGCACTTTAACCCGTGGAAATACGTCTTTATAAATTGCAGCTGTTTGCAACATTAAAAAAGTCGAATTCCAACGGGTTTTACAATCCAAACACAACTTTTTAGTAGAAGAAATGCGCAATTGGCGAGCCGCTTCTTCAAAATTTTCAATTCTAGCAGCAGAAGCAGTCCAATACACCACACTATCACGAATTCTTTCAATACCACCCGATATCATTTCTAAACCATCTTTGACAATCAAATTTAAGATATGGGCAGCACACCGCATTTGAAGCACTAAACCATCTATCAACAAATCACTCACATTCAACTTTTCCAACAAACAATTAATCATACCATCATTGGTGGAACAGTTATCTAAGGTAATCGTAGATATCTTACGATCAATATTCCAATCCATCAATGAACTAAGAACCACATCACTTAACACTTCTTTGGTATGTGGAGCAGGAACATAGATAAACCTAAATAAAAGAAAAAAATAAGTTGCTCATGTATAACAAACAATTAACATAATTCAAGTTTTTAACTTTTGAAAACATACCTCAAAATTTGACTTTGTAAGATCCAAGACTCATCAATATAATGTGCAGTGATAGCCATGAAGCCTTTCTTTGTGTTGCTAGAAGTCCACATATCGGTTGTAACTGCTATCTTACTTGCAAGCTTCTCCAAAATATTACAATTCTTCAATCTTTGCAATTCATAGATCTTCAAAATATCTCCTTTAATTGTATTTCTTGACACAAGTTTAAAACATGGCTGCAAACTCTTAACAAATTTTCGAAAGCCTGTGTGATCCATAATAGATAATGGATACTCATGCAATACAATTGCAGATGCAAGCTCATGGCATGACTGTTGTTGATCGAACACATGATTGTGCAATTCTTGTTTGCCATCATTCTTTTTACTACCACTTCGAAGTAACATTTGCCTAATATCTCCTTTAGGCCTTTTAGCACACCTATTGTAATGATCATGCAAGGTACTCGTCCCATGAGTGGTACCTGTCTTGTTTTTTTTTACAATACTTGCACACACCATAAAAAATGCCATTTTCACCTTTCTCTCTATCAAAATGCGCCCAAACTTTTGATTTTAATTTTCTTTTTCCTCCTTCAATTTCATATTCATCTTCTTCTACTGTATCTGTCAAGTCAATTGATTCAACATTCCTTGATTGTGGAGTTGATGAATTATCCCCTTGTTCAGATGCAATTAGATTTTCGGACAGATTCATTGTAATAAGAATTCTACAAAGACAAGGAAGCAAATAGCACAATAAGTGGACTGCTCACAAACATGAAATATAACTATAATTTTTCACTTACACTAAAATTACAGGTCCTCTCCTCTGTTTAGAATCTAGAGGAGCACAAATGGATCATTACTGATCCGAAATATATCATTTGGAGTTATTTCAACATTATACATATCCATGGCTATCTTTTTTTTTAATAATACTAAAATTCTAAACCATTTAATTGCCGTAAATCATTAGGCTTTCATATTTACATTCTCATTAAGGCTTTTCACAAACATCTTATATGCACGCAAACAACTATCCTTTGTTTGATTAATTTCGAATTAAAACAAACCAAAAATTGTAACACAGTGCATTTACAATACTAATACAAACTAACAAGATAAAAGGGGGAAAAATTAGCAGTGAAATTTAAATACACAGAAGGTTAAAAAAGTGAAAGCAAAAGGACCTTCACTCTGCGCCTGTTTTCAAATTTAGTACCCAAAGAATTTTGCAAAATAATTAGGTGCCTTTATTTTATACTCCACCGCCATCAATAGTCAAATTTTCTCAAATTAACATACATACGCTCTGGTATTATTTGTCATAATACTCGCACAACTCGCGTTTAACTAAACTGACTTTTGCTCACTCAGAAAAAGGTGTATAGTCTAACCACAGAATTTAGTGCTATATATTTCACCAAAAAAAAAAATGACGTCGGTTTATAAATGGAAACTTTCAGCAAGGACAATTAATTACCCCTGAATTTTGTTGCCCCTTTCTATTTCAGTCTAGTGAACCATCAGACCACGTTCTAAGTTCAGTTGTGATCCAATTGACAGGAAGAAAAATATGACAAAGCAGCTTTGCTTCGGTCACAGTGATCCCCAGACAGGCAAATTGCTGAATTCTGCCGGGCGTTGGCCCAATAGTGGAGATTTGGTCGAAACAAAGAAACAAATCAACAGAAAATTACGTAGAACCTGGAATTGGAAACTTCCAACTTGTCAATCAGTTTCTTCTCACTTGCCGACGCAGAGATGAGCTCGATCTGGGATTCTGGGTTGGGTAAAATTTTAGAAGGATTTAGACAGAGAATGGGTTTAGTTGAGTAGTGAGTAGTGACTGATTACTGATTAGAATTGAGGGGAATTGGAGGTGACGGCGGTGGGCTGGTGGCTGCCATTCTGCGAATGAGGGAAAAATGGGAACGGCCGAATGGGGGAATGGGGATAGATAATTAGGGGTTTTGTAACTTTTGTTACTTGACTTATACTTACTTCTGTGTATTATATATATATAATTTTTTTTTGCGGGGGACGGGGCGGGGGATGGGGCGGGTGGATGCTGCCCATCTCCCGCCCCGCCCCGCCCATCCCCCGCCCATTTGTACCCCCGCAGGCACCCGCCCCCATTGCCATCCCTAGCAGTGAGTTTGAGAAATTTTTTTCAATTCTGTTGGATGTTCGGAGCAAGCTCTTTGTGCGTCCGATAGCAAACAAAGGGATTTGAGAAATCATCTTGTTTCTATCGGACGTCCGGTAGACATATTGAGCGTCCGATGGTTTCGTCGACTTTGAAGGATCCTATCGGATGTTCAATGCTTGCTTCGATCGAGGTCAGTGATCCAGGGGGAATGTCTTATTTCCTTCAGATGTCCGGTGGTGGAATTCTTCATGCGTCCGAAGTTACGCAATGATTATCAGATGTCCGATCCAAGCGTCCGACAGCTTTCACCAGCCTTTGTCCTTTTCAATTGCACTTGATCTTTGAATCTGATTTGCTTCACAACTGAAAATATTTCTTGAAGAGATATTAGTACCATCCAGTATTTTGTAAACATCAAAAGTTAGGAACTAAGATCGACATTCTCCTCCTTTTTGATGATGACAAAATAATGGATGGAAGATGGAAAAGATTGAGCATATGAGCATAAGCTCCTCCTCACTCATTGCATCCAAACTTATAATCTCAGAATAACTCCCCCTTACACATAGCATCCATTTCTCCCCTTTTTTGTCATAATAAAACTTCAGTAATATTAAAAAATATCAAGAAAAACTCAGTTCAAAATATCAGAAACATTAAAAGAAAATTATAAAAAAGTATTATGAACAAGAATCTCATCAATCTTATCATATCTCTTACTTGTTAGAGTTAGAATCATGTCTAACTATCTACATACATTTCATGTTTTTTCTCATATTCTTTCTCACATAGCAATCACTTTTCATGTGACCTTTTTGACAACAAAAATTACACATAATCAAAGAGTTATTTATATGAACATATTTAATAAATCTTACTTGTCTTTTTTTATAAATAGCAAATTCATTTGCAGTAGAATTTATCTTCTTCTCATAAGTGCCAAAAATGAGGTTTTGATTTATTACTTTGAAAACAGTCTTGTTTTTTATATTGGAGCAACTCATTTAAATTATTCATTCTTTTTTTTCAAATCACCTTGTTTCTTTTTGAACATTTCACAAAGTCTTGTTTTTCTATCAAGCTCAAAGTGTAAAACAATCTCACTCTTTTTTAAGAAATCACTTTCAATTTTCAATTTTTTATTTTCTTGAAAAAGACGTGCATTGTCCTGAAGAAAAAGCTAATTTTATGTTTTAATTCCTTGTTTCTAGTATAAGATTCTTTCGAACTATTATGCAATTTTATAATGAAAGATTCAAAATCATCATTAGTTTCATCATCACTTTCAAATTGAGAGTTAGAAGATGTTATCTCATCATCTCCAATGGCCATAAAAGTCAATTGAGCAGATTTTTCTTCCTCTTCAATTTCACTATCGGAGTTGCATTCATTCCAAGTGAACTGGAAGTTGTTGAATCTTGGTTTTCTTTCACCTTTTCTCTTCTTCATTGGACATCCACTCATGTAGTGTTCAAACTGGCCACATTCATAACATTTGTCACCTTGCTTTTTGTTGGTCTCATATCTTCCTTTGTTTCTTGCATTGTTGAATTGATTAGAATCTGAATTGCTAGGTCTTACTCTTCTAAATCTCTTTTTGTTGAGAATCCTCTTGAAACTTCTTGTGATGAGAGCAAGATCACTGTTATCAACTTCCGCATCTTCTTCATCTAGGGAGGCAGAATCATCTACATTTTTAAAGCAATGTTCCTTCTTACTTTCGCATCCTCTTCCTCTTACATTTTGGACTTAAATTTCAACTCGTAAGAGGTTAGAGAATTAATAAGAGATTCAATAGGTAAGGAATTTAGATCTCTAGTTTCTTCAATAGCAGTCACTTTACTCTCCCAATCCTTGGATAAAGCATTCAGAATTTTTTTATTTTTCTCACCTAGAGAGTATTCTTTTACCAGCACCTCTAAATCCTTAATAAGGTCGTGAATCTACAGTACATCTCATTAATATTTTCATGAGATTCCATCTTGAAGGATTCATACTTTGTAACTAGAATGGACTTTTTTTGTTCTCTAACATTTTCACTACCTTCATGAATTTCTCTCAATTTATCCTAAATTTCCTTGGCTGACTTGCAGCCTTTAACTCTAATAGATTCATTTGAGTGTAAAGTGCAGTATAACACATTCATGGCTTTTGCATTTAAGGTGAGATGAGTTCTATCTATAGCAGTCAGTTCATTTCTTGTTTTTGGTCTAGATCTATAAGTATTTTCATCTATAAGTGAGGCATCATATGGACGTTCACTAATAATAAACCACAATTCAATATCAATAGATTACAAAAAGATAATCATTCATTCTTTCCAACTCACATAATATGACCCATTAAACATAGGTGGTATAATGACAGAATGTCCTTCAAAAAATATGACATTATTGGTTATCATATTTACTCCTAAACCGATTGAGTTTAATCTCAAGAGGACCAAACTCTGATACTAATTGTAAAGATCGAAAACAATCAAGTGGAAGAGATAAACAATGTAAAGATCACAAACGTAACAGTAAATAAATAAAAAGGAAAGAATTGCAAACAATTAACTACCCAACTCCTCTTGAGTTTGTAGATTAATTCAAACAAACTTTCTTCAAGTTGATGAATTACAATCACTCTTATGTACAAAAAAAGGTTCACCTCCTCTTTACCCCGAACTCCACTCGGTCAAGATAGAACGTTTTACTATCCCTCAGGACAACCCTCGCAGAGCTACACTCATGAAGTATTCCCTCACAAATGAAAAGCTTAAAATGAACCTTACACCACTAAGACTACAAATCTTTCTTGGAGAGTATTTTCTCACTAAAATCACTCTAAATCTTTTGTATCTTCAGTATGCAAAAGTTATTTGAAGATTCTGACCATACTTTATTTATTAGAGACCAACAAAGTGCATTATTAATGCTTCCAATGGATAGAAAGTAGCTGAACAGTCAACTAACCGTTGGAGTATCGGACGTCCGGTACTCCTGTTTTTTACGTCCGACAGCAGGCAGTGAGTTTAAGAATTTTTTTTCAATTCTATCGCACGTCCGGTGCAAACTTTTTGTGCGTTCGACAGCAAACAAAGAGATTTGAGAAATCATCTTGTTTCTATCGGACGTCCGGTAGAGACATATTCAGCATCCGATAGTTTTATCGACTTTGAAGGGTCCTATTTGACGTTCGATGCTTGCGTCCGATCGAGGTCAGTGATCCACGGGGAATATCTTATTTCCTTCGGACGTTCGGTGGTGAA